CTGACTTCATGTGGCTTCACAGTCCATACCCTGCTTATGAACAAAATGCTAGCAGATGGTATAGGAGTCCCCTTTCTTAGAGCCTATCTATGCTATAAACCTCTGAAAGAAATGGCTTATGACCATGGAGCGCCGGCAACTGTAGATTTATGAGGCTATATGCCTGCTTCTCTGGGATGTGGATAAATATATACGTGCTTCCATTTTTAGACACAACAGAAGTATTCCCAAAACTTTAGTAAAACATCCCACGAGAAGAGGCAGCCTTTAGAATAATTAGGATCTGCACATTTCTTTCCCACTAATAGAGAACCTGCAATTTCTCTTCCTGAAGAATAATATTCTTTATTGCGCTCCTTCCACTCATAGCACTCCGAGCAAATGGTGGTGAGAGGAGTCTGTGTGTGCTGGGGCTGCTTAATCAAATGCTAATTCTGTGGAGTGACAGAATTGGCTGGAGTTAGCAAAGGGTGCTCACTGGCAACCTGGAAAATGCATTGATTCACTCCAGAATCTGCTTTGCAAAGAGCCAGGCTGCGATTTAGAATATAAAGCTGTATTAAATCACAAAGTGCTGTTTGGCTCACGCAGGGATCCTTTGTGTCCTTAATGAAGGGGGGTTGGGGACAGAGCTCCATTCTGATGCTTTATGTATAATCAGATGCCATTTTGGAATGCTCTGGAAAACACACCAGAAATAATAATTGGTTGGAAAGAAAAGCTTTAGTTGAAAAACAATGTATGACTGAAACAAGAAGAAAAAGAAAGCATGCAAGATTTAAGCATGGGAAGGATAAAGTTTTTAATGCATTTGCATTGAAATAAAGGTGGAAAGGAGCAGCATTTAAAATGGCTTGAAAAACTAGTTTAGATGTAAATTGGAGATAATAGCTAAGGGCAGAGGGAATGGGATTCACATTTTTTCCTCTGGAGGCTATGGCGACTCCTGGCATTGCTGATGGAAACAGGAGATCCCAGATATGGTAATTAAAAGTGACTCCACAGTTTTCAAGAACACAAGCACCAATTCTTCCTGCCAAGACCATCTGGGGAGTGAGGAGAGGGTTATTTGGCATGCGGGGCTGAATCATGAGCAAGCATGCAAGAGGGGAAACAGGTGGTTTGGTGCAAGCAGAATAAGTACGGAGACTGTTTTTTTATGGATGAGAACACATGGTATAGCCTTATTTACCTATGGGTCTGGGTCCAGTCACCTCGTACCCTCGCCAGGAGCATGAAGGAGTTAAGCAACGCCAGGGTGTGATTCCACAGAGAAAAAGTTTATTCGGTTACTGCGCAGCAGGTACCAGCGGAATTGCTTCCAAAGTCTGGCACATACATACAGGTCATGCAAAGCCTTTTATACATTGGTTTCCCCGCCCTGTTCAGCCCCCTGAGCCTATCCCATTCATGTGTCCAGCCCCCCACGTACTGACTGTGCTCGTGCCCAAGTCATGTACACCGCATGCTCAGGGCGTGCTTATCAGCAGGGAAGCTCGTGACTGTGGTTAGTATTGTGCATGTGAGGAGCGTGATCACCGCCTGGGCTTACTTGGGCCTTGGGCCTGTCTCATCAGGGCTGTTGTGATGAGATAAGAACAGGGCCTCTTTCTCCTTCATTAGAAGGGGGCCTCTTTCTCCTTCATTAGAAGGGGGCCTCTTTCTCCTTCAGTGGAACTTATGATGGCATGACAGACAACGCTAGACTTCTTCTGGGGTTCTAGAAAGACCCTTGGTCAATTCTGTAAGTGACAAATTCACTTTTAAATTTGTTCCATCCTCTCAGCTAAACTGATGGGAAATCCACAATAGGATCCCAGGCCAATATTTTGACTTTTTTCATTTCAATAGATATGTTGAGGCTCTGAATTTGATTGGCACAGCAGTTTGGGGCATGGAAGAGGGGTATTCAGCCCTATTCTCCCCCTTTCATTCCCTGTCTAAATTACCCTTTAAAAAACCCATCGTTCATCCTCTTCATGGAAAATGGGTTTTATTTTTTTCTGTTGCATGTCTAGCAGCAGTTTCGGATTTATATTAGGAAAATAGCAGTAAGGGGGAAAGGGTTTGATATTCCCTCCCTCCACTGTTAAAGGAAAAACAGGGAAGTCTGGAAACCCAGGCACTGATCTCCAACATGTTGTATTATCCTCCAAGGAAAGAGGAAGAAAAAGTCTCCGGAAGAATACGGACTTGAAGATACCTCTCTTTCACATTCTATGCCATATCAACAATATTCACAAACAATGCATTCCTGGCTAAAAGGAATGATGATGATGATTTTATCTATACCCTGCCCACTCAGGGCAGCTTGCATAACATATAAAAGCATAATAAAATGTCAAACATTAAAAACTTCCCGATACAGATGTCTTCAGATTGTTAAAGTGGGATCATATATTTTTTTTTAAATCGTTCTTTGGAATTCCCTGCCATGTCACATCAGGCAGCTTCTCTGGATTACTTTGGGTGCATGTTTAAAACATTTTTGTTAATGTGCTTTAATTTCTTCGAGGTCTTATGACAATCCAGTGGTATATAGATTTTGCTAAGTCAATGAATAAAAACCACTGAGACGTCTCTGCTGAGTAAGCGGTATATAAATTCTGTTGAATTAATTCAGAAGAAGTTGCACATTTGTAAGAACTCCCTGCCATTTGAGATTAAGCAGGTCCCTTCGCTCTATTACTTTCAGTGCCTGCTAAAAGCATTCATGTTTATGCAAGCCTACCTAGATATTTAAGAAAATTGAGGTTATTTTTATCGGTTTCAGTATTTTAACTTTTGTATGTTTTGAAGTGTGGTTGTGAATTTTTATTTATTTTGCTGTTTTATCTTTTGTAAACCACTTTGAAGATTTTTGGGGTTTTTTACAAACAAGCAGGGTATAAATGTTATGAAATAAATAAATAAATAGCTCTGACTAGAGAGCTCGTGGTACCTAAAAGATTTGAACTGATAAAGTAACTCTTTATATCCTTGCCACAGTCCTGCTCTGCCAGAGAAGAGGGCTAGCAATAATCAGCCAATCACGTATGAGAACACACATGGCATGAATGGATCCCAGCCTGCCCCAGACTTTTTAGTACCAATGAACTTCATTGGTAAGTGAAGTATATGTTAAATACAGGATATATTCCCCCCCAAAAAATAATAATTCAAACACAGTTGTTTTGTCTTTCTGAGCCCCAACAATATGGTTTGTTTGTGCAGGTAAAAAGCAAGTTCATTTATTCCTATCATTTAAAAATGGTAACCTGGGTTTCCAGACTGTTTCTCTGACTATCGTTGCTGAGGTGCCATAGCAAGCCTTCTCATCTGGGAGATTACCAGTAAAAATATCTCGCCAGCTCATGATGCCATGCATGATGCAGAGATGTTTGTTCTGGGCGCAGCTGATGAATACCGTATGGTGCCACCTTTCAACAGCCTGGCTAATCCAAGACAGATTTTCAATGAGAGTGACCTGGTTTCTGAATCCTGTCAGAGGAAAAATAACACTGCTGTCATCCACAGGATGCATGATTTAGGAAGGCCCTTGTCTGAAAGCAACAGACGAATCGCAGGGCACGGGATGCCGTTGTTCACAACTCGGGGCTGTGAGTTCTCTTTGATTTAAATATTTGATAGCAGCTAATGAAGTTGGGTTGTAGCATTTTGCGCTCCAGCAATGGTGCAGAGAAACATTCAACTGTGCAGTGGCCATGATGTAATGGTTCACAACCCACCTTTTGAGGCAGTGCTGAATTTTGAGAATGAAAATGAATCTGGGTCCATCTGACCTGGTAGCCTTTGGGCTCCCCCAGACGACCTGTTCATTGAAAATTCACCCTGATTCACTTGCACAAACCTTTGCAGAGATTAGGCTATGCTCAGCCTTTACTGAACATTTGCTCTGATTTTTGTTTTGTTGGGGAGGGACAGTTACTGGGTATATGACCAAGAACATTCTTCCTGATTTGCTGCTTGCAGGGTGTTTATATGTCTTCCCATTAATCATTTATTTAAACCACAATTTTCAATGCATTTCCGAGTCACTTTTCTAACTGCAAAATATCCTTCATTTCTTTTTAACATGAGTCTGTTGTGCTAGGCTGACAGAGCACACCAGTCCACTTCAATTGCACAAATCTCAATTTCCAGTTTACACTTTAATCCCTCCCACAAAATAATGACCGTCTGCAGACACCCGTACTCCTCAATCTCATATGTGTTTGCTCCTACTCTGATCACTCAGCTTGCTTTCATGCTAGCACCTAGCAGTGAAATTTTGTTCACTAGCTTTGTACAGGCGAGGGAGGGGAGGAAAGCAAAATGCCATTTTCTTTGCTGTCCTCTATCTTTTTTGACCTGATCTTTGGCAAAATGTCATACTGGGAGTGTGTGTGAGAGAGCCATAACATGCAAAAGAATATTAGCATGGGAAAACATACTAGAGCTTTTAATGGGAATTGTTCCTTTATCTGAAAACTTCCAGTTTGCAAATTCTGCCCACTTTATTACAGCTAGAAAAATGACTCTTGGATATCACCTTATTAGTAGGTTTTGTCACCTATGGGGAGGGGTATTAAGTCACTCTTTTATTTCCATTTTTCCTCTTTCCATTACAGAAGAATATCACTAATGCACCATAATGGAAAGAAACAAATAATTATACCCTGCACCCCAGGGAGACTGACTAAATATGCAACTTAAATGTCGATTTAGCTCTTATCACCCAACCATGTTGATGTGGGAAGCAATAAAATGGGATGTGCCTGCAAACAGGAAGCTTTCAATTACCATTAAAAAGGACCTTTGCTGAATGAGAGTTACTTATTTTGTTTTATTTTTTACCCTTTTTCAGGTCACAACAATATAACACAAAAACAACAGGAGAACTGAGATACAAAGGATCATCTTCATGGTCTGTGTTCCATAGTGCAATGCTATTAGCTGAGATGCAAAGGATATCCAAAGGATTTATATTTGAGATCCACCCATTACTTATTTTGTGTTAGGTTGTCCATGTGTTGATGGCAACTGCCATGAATGTGACTTACTTGTGGCTAGACCCTATGGAAAGATTTTGGCGCTGAACAAGGTCATTATTAAGTCCTATGTGAAACCTCCCTTTCATCTCCTGAGAATTGTAGAAAAGCAATGCCGCAGAACTGTTAAAAGAAGGGATGGGTGATTCCTTCCAAGATTTCTTCAGATTCTCAGAAATGATGTTATAGCTCAGTCAGTAGAGCATGAGACTCTTAATCTCAGGGTTGTGGGTTTGAGCCCTACATTGGGCAAAATATTCCTGCATTGCAGGGAGTTGGACTAGATGACCCTCGTGATCCCTTCCAACTCTACAATTCTATGTGGGATCTTTTTAAAAAATGACAAAACCTGCATTTTTTCCCAAAGTAATCTGAGGACCTGTAAAAATGTTCTTAACAAGGTCCCCTCAAATGCTCCCCATTCCTTCCACTTTCCTTTCCCTCCTTCCTTCCTTCTCTGTCTCCCTTAATGCTGGGTAAGAAGGTTCAAGGAACCATGGGAGATGTCATTCTCCTTCTATAGTCTATGACAGCCTTCCCCAACCTGGTGCCCTCCAGATGTTTTGGACTACAACTCCATCATTGCTGACCATTGATCATGCAATAGTCCAAAACATCTGGGAAGCACCAGGTTGGGGAAGGCTAGGCTGTGCCCATGATAGAGGAAGATGACAAGGATAGCCTCTGTCCATGGTACCTCATGTTTACATATAATATTCATAAGTTACCCACTAAGAAATCGTCAACACCCATCCAAAATCAAATTGCATAGTTCCTGCCTTTGCAGTATGTGCCGATTCTGAATGTTGATTTGGGTGCTACAATCACTGGATTGACAACACAATTGACAACTGGGCTGTACTTTGCTTTATCCTTGCTTTGCCAGTGCTGTTGTTTTCTCTAAACTGTCCCTGTGCTGCTTCTTAGACTAGCATTCTCTTTCTTTTCTTGTTTTTTCACTGAGCAAGGATAGTTATGATATTTTTATTATAACTTCTATAATTTATGATGTTTTTGCTGGCGGGAAAATCTTGGAGATCTTTTATTGCAGCCAGCTCCTAAGGCTGTTTAAAATATTTTAAAATTATGATTGCTTGTTATTCATATTACAGCATTGCAGTGCTAATGGCTTTATCTAGCACCAGTCACCATGTGCAAAATGCCCTAGATACAAACAGCCCCTGCCCGCAAGCTGTTTGCAATTTAAACAGCTTAAAATACTGAACCTCTGGAATAGTGATATGGTTGCTCATAGACTAGCAGTACAATTCTAGACATGCCTACTCAGAAGTAAGTTCCTGTGAATTCAGTATGGCTTACTTCCAGGGAAGTGAGTATAGGATTTCACCCCACAGCATAACTCCATGCCCCCCAATATTTCTCCAATAAAAATATGGACATCCTATTCCATAATAATAATTTTACTGTTTATACTCTGCCTATCTGATTAGGTTGCCCCAGCCACTCTGAGCCACCAGAAAACTGTCATTCAGTGTCATGATAAAACCAGAACATACCATTTTTTCTTGCACTAGTATGGTAGCCATTTTAGGCATGCTAGGGGTTGCGATCTTGGACTGTGCCCCAAATGCATGTTTTTGGGCATTGTGCCTGAGAAAGCACTTTTGGGGGGCAATGATATTGCACGGGTCATGGAACTTGTCCGGGTGTGCATCCTGGATTTTCGTCGTGACATGTTGGAGGATATGAGAAAACCGTATGGTAGGTGAAAGATTGGTAAATGTGGGAAAGGCAAACATGTATATATAGCCTTGGATGGAAAATGATATAAAGATCTTGGGGTGGAGAATTTTAATGTATACCTGGATTTGTTGATGACTCAGTGAAAGACAGAGAAGGTGGAGCTTAAGAAGGATGAGTCTGGTGCAGGAGAAGGAATCCTGAAATTGCCCCCTTGCAGTGCAGACAGTCTTATCGCAGGCTGCACAACTCTTTGTAAGTATTCTTTTTGTAAACTTCCATGGGAGTATGAGTCAAGGGTCTCCCCCCACCCCATTTCTGTCCTGCCTTTCTTCTGCTACGGAGCCCAAGAAATTGGGCCGGGCATTATGAGGCCTTTGCCACCCACCTTCACAAAGGCATCATGATGTGAAGGCCAGTGCTGGATTAAGGCCTTTAGAAGCCCTAAGCATGCAAAAGATATATAACTAATTCAAAATAAAAAACCAATAATAACCATTTCAATAAAATTTTATTTTCCAAAATGAAACAAAACCTACAGTAAGATGGAAAATAATGTTTATTTTTGTATACTTCCACTTAATTTACATTTGAAATTTTTTCTCCTACTTTTCCTCATTGCAAAGCCTTTTATCAGATCCTCAAAACGATTCAGCTTAGGTCATTTCTGTGGTGTGCCCCTTCCCTTGATGTGCTAGGCATGTACTTATTTTGCATAAAGGTTAATCCAGCCCTGGTGAAGGTCCCAATACAGTCAAATCTTTGTTGTTGAACGTAATCCATTCCGGAAGCCTGTTTGGCTTCTGAAATGTTCGACAACTGAGGCACGGCTTCCAATTGGTTGCAAGAGCTTCCTGCACTCAAGTGGAAGGTATGTTGCATGTTTGGCTTCCGAAAAATGTTAGAAAACTGGAGCATTTACTTCCGGGTTTTCGGTGTTCAGGAGCCGAAACGTTCCAAAACGGGGGCATTTGGGAACCGAGGTTTGACTGTATCCACAATGTTATATTTGTAGGGAGGGGCGTCTGATCACAGCTTCGCCTGTGAATTTAAGTCAGCTTGCTGGTTAAAAGAAAAAGAAACGAAAGAAAAGCGTAGATAGGTGCCTTTTCCTTTTCCTTTTTAACCTTCAAAGTCATGGTCGGAGATAGGTCAGGTTTACATTTATTGCTGATTCATGTAAAACAACAAACAGGTGCAGAGGAAAGACAGGAAATAAAAGCAGGGCAAGATTTGTGAAATCTCAGTGTTTCTTTATGTTCTTCCTCCAAATGTTTTACAATGTGTAATGTGGAAGAAAGTGTAAAAAGCAAATACACTGGGAATGTGTGTTTGTGTGCGTGCATATATCTATATCTATATCATCTATATCATCTATATCTATATCATCTATATCTATATCTATATCTATATATCTATATCTATATCTTTGCACAATTGTTTGTTCTCTGCCCTTGAGTGCAGCACACAATCTGTGAATAAATTTCCTAACTAGAAAAGCAAGGAGATTGTAGGGGGATTCAATCTGTTTCATTTTAGGCATATAAATTAAAACAAGAACCACTAAATCGAAAGAGGTCACGGGTGATGGATGGATGTAGAACATTTGGATTTTGTTAATGCTCCCCCTCAACACAAAGTAGCATGAATCCACTTAAAACTACATTGCCATATAATACTTGCTTCTGCTAATACACCTATGATTTCTTCGTAGTGGGATAAAACAAAACCAGTTATTTCTTTGGGTCACCCTCAACGCCCCACGGTTTGCTTTGAACATTGGCAGAATTTTTACCCTTGCATACAAGATGCTTAGAAAATGAACGTGATAGTTATCAGCACTTTCCCCCAAAATTGGTTATATAAAAGTTAGTGACCTTTACAGGCAGCGGTCCTGTGTTTAGATATTTAGAAATTTGCCTCTTTGTAAAAATACAAGATGGTGTATGCAGTGCAAAATCACAAAAAGAGCAAAAAACCCAATCAATTTACACATCAGTAAAAAGAAAAAGAAAAAAGAAATCAGTGCTGGCTAGCAAAAAAAGAATTTATTGTTGCAAATTAGATGGCATCTAATTGCCATCATGTGGTAGAGAACTTTGCATTCTCAGCACCAACACATACCATGTCCCCCAGACTTCCTTTGAGCACTTAGAAAGAGCATTGTGCAAGTACTGACACTCCTTTATTATATTATGTATTCTTCCTCCTCCTCCGATGGTTGTTTTAATTAATTAGTTAATCAATCAATCAATCAATCACTGGAACTTCAAGCATGCCTTGAAAACTCATTTATTCCAGTGCCTGTGCCACTGATCCAATGGCGTAGCATGGGTTGCCAGTGCCCGGGGCCGCACGGAAGTAGGTGGGTTGGTGGGTGGGTGGGTGAGTGGGAGGGAGGGAAAGGGATGGAGTACTCCTGCACATTCAATTGCCTAACGGGTATCCATATCACCCAAGAGATTGCAGCCACAGAGATAAGAAGAGTTGCTCCATTGTCTGGGGGAGGCCACTTCCTGGTTCACATGGAGAAGCTGTTTTCCACAGAGCCCAGCAATGGAAGCATGCAGCTGGGTTTGTGACAGCACCAGGTGTTGAAATTTTGTATCCCTAACAAGTTTGTGCCCAGAGCAACTGCCCCTGTGGCCCCCACGCTATGCCACTGTCCATCGCATCGCCCACCAACTTGTGCATGGTCAGGATCTGAAGCGTGAAGCCTCTTGTACTTGTGGTGGGTTTCCATGTGCTCGGGAACACTGCGTAATTGGGATTTAAAATCATGCTGGAAGCCTCCAGGGACAGAGGAAGAACCTTGTTTCAGACATTTGCCTTGCTGTGAGTTGGGACAGAGGGATCCCCATTCTCGTCCCTGCCGTCTTGCTCACATGCAGGGTTTAGACACAAGCAGAATGCCAGCACAGGGCTGACACTGCCTTATAATGCAGTATTCTTATAATTTAGATGCTTCTGATGCATCCTGCTGTATTTTATCACATTGTTGTACGTAGCATTATGAGAACTATACCCTTAAAAGTCCGAGTTAAATGTTTTAAATAAATAAATAAGCGCTGTCATCATTAGCAGCAGCAACGGTAATTGCCCACTCTAAAGATCTCTGTCTCGAGGCAAAGACGCAGAGAAAATTGTTCAGGTAATTGCACACAGACAGTGCCCAGCACCCCTGGGAGAAAGAAGTAGCATGGTTGTATATTCAGTGACATCAGGGAACAGAAGAAGAAAAATGAGGAAGGGGGAGAGAGCATGCCATTACATAATTTAGCCGATCTCTTCATTTTATTAACTGATGACTCCAGAGTGAGGACAGCTAATTTAAAAGGCGGATGTTGAGCTATGGCATTTTGGAAGCCTGGAAAGGGTGTGCTTTGGGAGAGTGTAGAGAGAGGCAGCACAAGGTATGCGCAAAGATTTTGATATTACAGA